GGGAGGGAGGATATTACCGTTCAGGAGTCTTTACCATTCTGCTAATCTCTCTAAATATTTGAAATCGTCGTAACATGGTGGTTAAGAACATGGACTCAGGAGTCGGGTTTCCTGGGTTTGAACCCTGACACCATCACTAATTGTCTGTGGGGATCTCAGACAAGCTGTTCAGCCTTTATGTCTGTATTTGCCATGTGCAAATGGGATAAAGATTATTCCCTCCTTACAGGGGTCTTGTAGGAGCAGTTCAATGAGGGCTGTAAATGCTTAATGTTATTCCTGGGATACAATAAGCATTTAAGAAAAATATTATGTATTTTATATAAATATAAATGTAATATAACAAAACTTTTTTGTTGTTTTTCAACTTTTTCCTGGTTTCAGTGCTATGGGATCTTGGAATTTTTGCAAAAGGCAACCCAAATAGCTGTGTAAGCTAAATGATTTGCTTCTAGAATTCACATTTCTTTCACTGATTTCTCTTTCTGTTTGTGTCTATAGGACTTCATCGTCACTGTAGTCTTTTCGTTCCTGTGGTTGGTGGGGTCATCAGCTTGGGCAAAGGGACTGTCTGATGTCAAGGTCGCAACGGATCCCAAAGAAGTATTGTTACTGATGTCAGCTTGCAAGCAGCCGTCCAACAAATGCATGGCTGTCCACAGCCCTGTGATGTCCAGCTTAAACACTTCTGTGGTATGTTTCCACCTATGCTTTACCCCCCAAAGCTCTGTTAGCCAGTCAAGCGAATAAAACATCTCAGAAGTCATCTTGGAAATTTCTACCTCCAAAACTAGGCCAATCTAACAGGTGATATTTCACTCCATGTGCAAGATGATCCTTTAATCTTGAAGTTACTATTGTCAGAACCTGTAGACTTCGATGCTGCCAATTACAAAGCTCTTAATAGGAACTCAGCAGAGATTGGCAGCTGATGACTGGGTGACAGTCAAGTCAAAATTCTAAGCCCGGCCCTGGCTGTTTTTGCTCAGTGGTTAGAGCTTCGGCCAGCACACCAAAGTGTCAAGGGTTGCAGGTTCAACCCCAGGCCCAGGCCCAGGCCCAGGTTGGGGCGCTTGTGGGAGACAACCAGTCAATGTGTCTCTCTCACATCAATGTTTTTCTCTCCCCCTCCCTTCCTCCCTCCCTTCCATTCTCTCTAAAAAAAATCAAGGACAAATATATTCTCAGGTGAAGGTTAACAAAACAGAACAAAACAAATGCTAAGCCTGAAGCAGATATAGAATCTGAGCCTTAAGGTTGAAGCCTGCCAGAAGTTAACAATGAATATTTGATGGCATAAAGGTTTCTTGGGAAGGAAACATTGTTCAGACCATACATAGCTAGAAAACACCCAATTGATTGTCTGCAGAAAAATACGCAGACCTGGTAGGATACAGAAAGAAATGCATCGTATAGAAAGCTCATAATTGCTATGGTCCTTTTTTCATCTTCTCGGTGCACCTAGTTTAGTTGCTTGTTAACTTCAGGAAAGCTGACCTATATTAGCTGGACAAAGTCAAATGTTATCAGCAAGCGGATAAGTCCTTCTAGAAGACAGAAAGCCTGGCAGACAGCAGGGACACTAAGCTGGATTCTTATTTTATAAGAGTAAGAACTTGTTATTCCAAAGAAAGAAACTGTGTCTGAGAAAGACAGAAGCTGTGATGGCAACAACGACAAAACAGTGGTTATCAAGGAACAGACGACTCAGCAGTGTTTGCTGAAGGAACAACATTCTTTAGCAGCCCCCAAAATAATTCTCTTTGCTTCAAGGTTAATTTATGCTTCTCCAGCTTTCTGAAATTTAACCTGGGAAGGCTTGTAAGAAGGCAAAGAGGGTTGCTAATCTGCTCCTTATGATTTGCCAGTGAATCTTGCCTGGGTAAAATAGTGAGCATGGAAATAGACTATGTATTAGTGTCTCACAGTCATTTTTTTAAAAATGTTTTATTGATTTTAGAGAGAGGAAGGGAGAGAAAGAGAGAGAGGGAGGGAGAGAGATCAGCTGCCTGCCGCACGCATCCAGTCGAAGGGGATCGAACCTGCAACCTTTCGGTGTGCAGGATGACACTCGGACCAACGGAGCCACACCGGCCAGGGCTCACGGTCAGTTTTACTTTTTGTTGGCCATACCTGTGGACAAACACTGTAGGCGAACATTAAAATATATTCTACTGCTTCCGTAGTTTTATAGGCAGTACTTGATAAAAACTAATGTAACCATGATCTCAAAATCTAAGAAAACAAAGTTAAAATCACTTGATGCATTTTTCGGTTTAATGAATAATCTGTATAAGTTATGGCAGCCTGCACAGTCCACTTAATTTCCCTCTGATGCCTCTAAGAAGTTGTAGACTAAGAGATGGGAATTTCGAATGAGACACAATGTGACTTATCTTGTAAAACTGAAACTGAGGATGGCTGGAAACCAAATAATATGGGGTGTGACAAGACAGGACTGATTCTGTTATAGTTATGGATCCATATCAGTCAAGGTCTTCCAGTTCCTAGTGACAGGAAAACTCAGTTCAAACTGGCCAATGCAACAGTCCCCACATCCCTAAAGTCTGTTCTTTGCACCCCACTTCTAGTACCAGCATCTGTGTGCATTAGAATGTTGGGGTTGCAAGTAACAGAAACTGACTCTGACTTACTTCATCATGAAAAAATCAAGTAGCTCAAAAAACTGATGAGACCTGAAGAAACAGGCTCTAAACAAAGCAGGATCTAGAGCAGGACCACGGTTCTAGAGGTCATGTACCGAAAAATGGTCTCATCAAGTTGCTATTGATAGCAAGTTGTATCTAACCTTGCATAGCTCTTCTCAAAATGCAGAGTTCCAAGAAAGAGCTCCTGTCACTTGACTGCACTTGGATCTACAAAGGAAATCAAATTTCTATTCCCAAAGGCAGAGGGAAAGAAAATATGTTAGTCTGTCATTTTTTTCATTACAAACTCATTCAGCTTTAAATCATATTGAGCTAGCTTTTGACCAAAAAAAAATTAACATAATTGAAAAAATGCTAAAAATGTATCTTCCAAGGGCAGAACCCAGAACCAGGCCCTTGGAAGGCTGGCGGGAAACTGGACGGTCCTCGCCCTCCTTCCCTCACCTCTGATGCTGTCTGCATGTCTGCTACGTGATTCCCTATTATCAGATGGAATTTTTTGTTTTTCTGCTCCCACAAGAGAAAATTGCCACCCTACAGTTTCTGAGTTTATATTTCTTTTTAAAGAAATGTCTTGGACTGAGCAAAAGTCACTCAGATCTAATCCCAGATTTCTGCTGGAATCTCATTAGCCCATCTTGGGCCAGGCGTCCACCTTGGTCTCAGCAGTTTTGTCTGGGGTTGGGAGGAATAGTGTAATGGCACATGGCTCACAGAACCCATCCTACTGGGCAAGCATAGGTTTTGAAGAAGGAACCAGGCAGGCCCTAAGAGATGACATCTGCAAGTTAATGGTTCAAGCAATAACTATATTTTCTACCTGGATAACAATTTACTTTCTTCAAAGCACCTTGGCATCTATAATTTCTCATAGGTAGGCGAACCATCCAGATATTTCAGATGGAGAGAGCTGAGGTGATGGGGTTTGCATAGGTTTCTCAAGCAGTTAAATGCCAGACTAGAGCCATGTTCTCCTAACACTGTCTCCACCAAAGTGGTGAAGGGCTCTGTTCTGCAGTTAATCTGCTGGGGTTTGCAGTCTGACCACTACTCAATAACTTCCCGCTCTTAGACAAATTTATTAAGCTTCCTAAACTTAGTTATATCATCTGTAAAATCTATAGCTTTTTATTATCTATATAATGGGGATATTATAAAGGACCTCACAAGACTGTTGAAAGGATTTGATGCAGTAAGTACTTAGCTTAGCACAGTGCCCGGCATGTGGCAAATGTTCAGTACGTTTCCAAGGAAAGCTGCTACAAGAAGTGCATTTATTTTCTTAAATTTCATATAGCATTGGAGCCTCACAAGGGGAGGGGAAGAATGTGTTTTATTCTCTCAGCTTTCCTTACCAAGGTCCACTGCCCTTCTACCCATAATTCCCGCTTCTGTTCCTCCAGCTTCCCTGTAGGCGATCCTGACACAGCTTCTCAGATCAATCATCTAGATTTCATCTCCCCCTTCTTTCTCAGGCTGCGTGGAGTCTCTCTATTGTCCTCACATCTGAGCTTAAATCAAAATACTCACTCCAGTCTCAGTTGCAACACAATGGCAAGAAAATTTTCAAGGGCCTGTGTGCCCCTAAAATGTAGCAGCCTCAAGATCTGCTACCTCTGAAATAAAAATAGAGTAAGACATCCCTGTTCCTTAGATGTGCACACAGGAATGCTGGGTTTACATTCTTAGTTTAAGTTACCTTTCCCTGATTTCCAGGTTCTTCTTGAGCATTTCTTTTTAGAAATCAAGTAGCATCAGGGGAAAGAAAGATACCAATGAGTAGAAAACAGATAAAATTACGGAGCCATTCCTTCATATCTGAAAAGGTTCTCTGATCATTTTTCTACTCATATATAATATTGACATATACTTACAGATGTGCAATTTAACCAATATTTCCCCTTTGATAGAAAATATCCTAGTTATTGTACATATAGTTACAAGGCCCTGTATATAAATTAGAGTTATGTCAGTGGTTACCAATTCCTTTTGATAATGCAACTATTACACCAGTATAAGTGCCTTATTTGTGTTTTGTATCTCCCTCAGCAAGGAGCCTAGCACGAAGTAATGTAGAATAAATGTCAGTCAATGTTAAAGGAAAGTCAGAGGATGGACTAGGAGAGAGGGAGGGAGGGCAGGAGGGTTGGATAAGCCAGTCTTCAATTAGATCAGTTAGGGGCCTAGATGCTCAGTCTGGGCTCTCAACATGCTCAAGACTGTAGCCCCACTGTCAAAGCCCTGCTTCAGTTTATGCTCCAGCAAAAGAGCCAACTGAAAACAATTCATGGAAATACTTTAGGAAGTGATTCAGAGCCTGACTTAGCAATCAGTAGGCATGACAAATGTGCCCGACACTGTCTAGCTGCTTTATGCGCATTCTTCCCCCAGGGAAGAAATAATTGTTTTCATTTCATGTGAGGGGGAAAATGCTGAGGTTCGGAGGCTAACTGCCTTGACTAAAGTCACAGAGCAAGAAATTGCAGAGCCCAGGCCACTCTGATTCCAAAGCCTGTGGGATGACCCCAAGGCTGATATTCAGCTGGTCTGTCTGATTCACCTGCTGCTAAAATATTGAAATACTTTGGTAAGGAGCTCCTGCTCCAAGGCCATTCATCTTGAGCATACTAGCTCCCCACTCCCGTCCCAGGGCATTTTAGACCACCCACCATTCAGCAACCAAGAGATAAATGTTGACCCAGTGCAATTTCCAACACCCTACTCCAGAGCTAAGGCTCAAGTCGATTTTGATTGGTGCGTGTTGTGCTAGAGTGGTCACTAAATGCACTTTAATGTCATCCCAGCTCCATATGCTACTCTTGTTATCTGTCTCCAATGGGGGCCGTTAACACGGACTGCCTGTGGTTGATTCCCAGGTCAGCCAGGCTGCCTTGGAAAGGCCGCAGAACCGCTGTTCTGCCCGGGCCTCTGGCAGCTGCGAACACTTCTGCTTCCATCAAACAGTTAGCACCTGGTCCTCTGACTCGCCGATGACACACTTCTGAAGAAAAAGAGGAATTTCCACAGGAAAGTCTTACACCCAGTTCTTGGAAAAACATCAATGGCTCTCTGAAGCCTGCACTTCATTCCTCGTCTGGTTGCAGTCTTCCCTTCTGAATGCGAGAGGCACAGAACATGCAGCTATTCAGAGGCAATCACCTCGCTGCATTTGGTCGCATTTGTGCTCATGTGCATAGCCCGCGCCCTGTTTAATTTGTACCTCTTCTTAAATGGACTCATTTTCTTTATATCATTACAATAAATGGAAAAGGAGCATCTTTAGCCATAAAGTGAAGGCAACATTATAAATTAATGTACCATCATTAAAATGAAAATAACCCGTACCCCTTGGGGATATCTTACAGCCCATGAGGAATAGCCATTTGGGGAAATATAAGGTGAAGGCTCAGTCTATGGAGTCAGACAGAACAGGCCTTTGAATCTAAGGTCTCCTCCTTACCAAGTCATGTGACCTTGAACAAGATCATTAAGCTCGCTTATCCTCAGCGTTCACACGTTTAATATGGGTATAATAACGGCACCTTCCTCTTAGACTAGCTGAATTGACACACATAAACCCCTTTACGCAGTGCCTACCATGGAGTAAGCCCTCAACAGGTCAGTGAAGTGAAAAGTGACCTTTGGTATTGTGACGGATTTTTCTGAAATTGGGGTTTTTCTTGGGTTTCTGTGCATCCTATTAATTCATTCGTTTGGATCTCTTTTAGGTCTTTGGATTCTTGAACTTTATCCTGTGGGCCGGAAACATCTGGTTTGTTTTCAAGGAGACCGGCTGGCATTCCTCAGGACAGAGGTATCTCTCGGAGCCCATGGAGAAGCACTCGAGCAGCTACAGCCAAGGCAGGTACGCCCAAGACAGCTATGGGTCCGGCGGGGGGTCCGGCCAGCAGGCCAGCCTGGAGCCATCCTCCGATGAGTTTGGCCAACAGCCCAGCGGCCCTGCCTCCTTTGCCAATCCCATTTAGCGGGTAGTATTTGCGTTCTGGAGGTAGCCTCACCACCTTCCAGTGGCAGAAGAATCTTTAAGTTCCAATCACTTATTAATGCAGAGAGTGTTGAAGGTAAATCAGAGATCTGTAATCCTCGCTAAGGCAGAAAGGCTGTGTCATGATAAACGGTACTTAGAGAGGAGATGACATGAGGAGATACATTATTCATCAAAGATGGCTAATTGGATATCACACCTTGTTAGATACACAGATACTTTCATAGTCATTTTGTATGTGTGTTGAGATAGTAGAAACTTGCTGTAGCTTCAAGTCTCTAGTATGTAATATGCATAAATTAAATAGCACTGAGTTTTCCTATGCATTTTGATGCAAAAGTCATTTTAATGATTTCTATAAGACAACTTGGTGTGTCACAATGTGCATGCATTATTATTTTTTAGCTGTAGGCTCTATAGGATTGTGAGTCTCAAGTATTTGTTTCAGACAGTTACTCTGGTTTTGTTTTGTTTTTTTACTTGATGAATCAATACTCATATGATTTAGTGCATGCATAGGCATTTTCTCACAAGGTGAACATTTCAATGGTATTTATGAAATTTTTTCAATTTGCACCATGAATTTGTTAAATGGACGTTTCAAAATATATATTCATACTTTGTATACTTGCAAATTTGTCTCTCTAGCTTCCCTAATTCCGAATGCATTGTAACTAAGGTTTAGGGTTCTTTTATCCTTACTAGTAGTTATTCAATATTAATATATGGTAATTGCCCAATATTTATTCCATTTACTTAGTTAAATATTTACATTCTTGTAACTTTCTATGGTATATTGTGGATCTTACCAAGAACAAAAGACCCAATAACTGTTTGTGTTTATACAGTGCTGTTTTCTTAGACTAATAGAGATGCAGATATCAGACACCATAGTCAAGAAGCTATTGCGTTGACATATTAGTTTAAAGAGGATATTCTGTAGAACCTAGACTACTAGCTAAACTTTTAAATCCTATTTGTTTACAAAGTTAATATGTTCTTCAATTCAATTATTAAAAATTTTCAAGTCTCACCTCAACTTACTAATTCTAATTTGAATGTTACCCATAAATTAAAAATTACTTCCATGAGCCACTCCACATCCCAAAGAGGGTTCTCATGAAAGATCCCCCGGAATGTATACGTTATCAAGAAAATGCCAATCTTTGCCTCTTTGTTTTTACTCAGTTGAAACACCAGGGCCCAACCGTGAGGGAAACTTGTATGTATTTCTACATCAGTCAGTATCAGTGTGTAAACTCATTGTGTGATCTGTGATGTTGGGAACATTTTAATACAAAACAGTGTTAGATGATATCTGTAACCAGTTTCTGGATCCTGTTGGATATGTATTGTGCTATCTATTTGACCTTAATAAAGTTGTTGCATACAACGCTGGCTGGATAATGGAGAATCACAACAGAACTTGGTTTAGCTCTAATAATGAAAGAACACAGAGTAAGTGCACAGTGTTGCCAATCTTTTACCTTGTCTTTGTCTTATGAGCACAGGAGTGTTCATTCATTCATTCCGCTATTCTAGAACCTTCTACATACCCATCGCTGTGCAAGACACTGGAAATAAGATATTGGGCAAAAGCAGAAACACACCCTACCTTTAGAAACATACACTCTATTCAGAGAGACAGGCATTAATCATTCCCCGGTTAGGCTGTGTGCAACAAAGAGAGGCACAGGATTCCGTGAGAACATTTTTCAGAGGGACCTGAGCTCGTAAGGGAGAGGTCAGGGAGCATCAGGCCTGAAGACTGCACAAAGCCTCAGAAGGACGGGGTGGGAGGGAAGCTCTCAGATGGTTGGAGGCTGGAGGGACAGGAAGGGTTGCCAGAGGGTAATGAATGAGGGGGGCTTTGTGAGAGGGATGGCTGCTGATGGGTGTCCGAGTGAAACCCTGTGTGGAGGCCACGTTCCAGAACTCTGTCTTTATCCTAAAGACGCCGAGGGAGAGCACTGAAGGATTTTAAGCGGAGGAGGGACACGATACATTCTAGAAAGAGCTCAGCGGCTGCAGGGTAGCGAGTGGGTTGAAGGAGGGCAGAATAAAGGACTTCCTAGGAAAAGGAAACAAGCCTTGACTCCTGCCATCTCTTGGGCAGTGGGTTGGGAATGGGAGGGGACCCGGCCTGCGTTCTGCCCCTTCCGCCTCTCATCTCCTGGGACAGTGTCTGGGCTCGGCTGCCCCCTCAGCGCCGCCCAGGAGCACAGCGGCCTCTTCTCCGTGTACTGTGGTGCAGGCTCTCTCTAAAGCAGAAAATCCCCATCACCAGCGGTTCTTTTTAGCGGCCTTAAGTACATCGGGGCTCTCGTGAATGGACAGCACTCCCTGCCTTGGTGGAGACGGAGACGAGCTGCACAGCCTGCTGCAGATTCACGGACTCCACTAAGCTCGCCTCATTCCTCCTGGTTTCAAGAAAAAAGCAGCAGATCTGGCCTCTTAAGAAGGGGAGTAATCCGTGCGGCAGAAGAGCTGGGTCTGTGCGTCCAGTGGCCCTGATTAGAAATCGCAGTGTCCCTGCTCACCAGCTGTCCTTCAGGCGTGACTCGGCCTCCTGCGCCTTCGTCCTGGGGAGGGGGAGAAGCGCCGCGTGGGAAGGGTGGGCTCAGATCTGACCCGCTGGGCTGGAGCCCCCGCCTTGCCATTTCCTGGGCCCTCTTCCTTCCTCAAGGCCTTTGCCAACGCCCTGGGACTTTTCTGAGCAAGTACAGACTGAAAGAGTAGGGGAGTTGACACCCCCCCGGGAGCATCCTCAATCTCTGGGGGCTCCGGGGGGGTCAATAAATGATTTGGCGAGATGCTGAACTTCTCACTGCCAGTGGCCCCGTCTACAGTGGAGATAATGGTAATATATGATTGTAGAATTGATAGCAAGATGGAAAAGGTAGCCCACGTCAAGGCATAAGGGTAGCTTCTGGCACACAGTAGGCACACAGTAGGCACACAGTAGGCGTGGTTCCCTGGAAAAAGAGGAAGATGATTCCAGGAGGCGGGAGTGAAGGAAGGAGAGGATGAGACAGGCGAGGAGGAAATCTGATAAAAGGTCGTATCAGGGGCATTGCTGTTGAAGGCTGTGGGAGCTGAGCTCAGAATCGGAGTATGTTCAGAATGGCTCCAGTAATTTTCCATCGAGGGTCAGGAGCTGAAGTATTTATCTGCCAACCCCCAGCCCATGTTAACTGAGATTTTCCCACAGGGGTGGTCACTTTCCCACATTTGCAGGCTGCGCCTCCCTGTAGACTGAACAGGCTCCTGCAATTTCAGAGAAATAAGCCTTGAGCCCTAACAGCTATTAGGCAGTGGGCTCAGCTAAGAGGCATGAATGCTCTCGCTGTCCTCCCCCAGTCCTGGGGACAGTGGCCTCAGGAAGGATAAGGGGGGGCCCCTGGAAGGAGCATGCATGAAGGGGTCACCATCAACATGAGCAGGAGCTATCCTTCACAGCTGTGCCTGAAATCAGAGGCTGGCAAGGGCATCAAAACCACCCAATGCAGTGATCAATGAGCGTGACTGTGATCACCTCATCTGTAAAGCAGAGATGCAGAAAATCCCCCCGCCTAGGGTATGACAAGGACTGACCCGGGCAGGTGTGGAAAGACTGGTGAACTTTACAGCCCTCTACAAATGCTAGTTGCCTATGTTGAGGTGTAAGCCTGAGTTTTTATAAGTCAGACTTCTAGGTGAGCAGCAGCTCCTGACATCTTGGAGCTTACCCTCAAGATTGAGAGACCCTAATAATAGACAAGGAAGCATACACTTTGGTTGCTGCTCTGAAGAAAAGAAATGAGGCAGGGTGGTGGGAAGGGGTGGACTAGGGTGCTGGACGAAAGCCTCTCTGAGACCTGCAGAATAGTCCGCCGTGGTGATTTCAGGCAGGCAGGACAGCACATTCAAGTGCATCGGGAGACCGCCAAGTGCCTTTGAAGGACTGACAAGAGCAAAACTAGGGGGGCCTGGGACACGCCACTTAGGGGAGAGTCAGGAAACCCTCAGAGTTTGGAAGAAGATTGTGAAGGGCCTTGTAGGACACAGGAAACAGATTTTATTCAAAGCAAAGCGAAAAGACACTGTGCAGGAAAACAGGACAGTGACATGATTTAATTTCCAGTTTGAAAAGATCCTTCTGTCAATATCCTGGCTTAGACATAGGCTAGCTACTTAAGATGTCAACACAGGGGGTAGCTGAGTGAAGGTTCCTGAGACTCTTTGTGCTATATTTACAATTTCCTGTCATTGAGGATGCTGAGAGTGGATTAATTAATCCATCAATTCGTTCAACAGCTATAGATTGAGTACCTGCTCCGTGCCATGCTCAGTTCTAGGCTGCTGGGGATATAGATTGAAGAAGATAGACATTATCCCCATCCATGCCTGTGGAGAGGGCATATACAGGTGATAAAGACACAAGATAAATTCAAATAGTGATAAACGCTAAGGAGAAAATAAAACGGTGACATGAAGGAAAGCCATGGGTTGGAGGGGAACAGCCACAGTATGAAATGCCAGGAGCCCAGAAACGAGAACATGGCAGCCTGACTTAGGATGGGGGCTCCCTCAGCTTAGGCTGGGTCTTAGGTCTTAAATACTGGCTTGGGCAAACCTTCGATCCTGGCAGAAGGATACGTCTTCACTTACATGCAGCGCTTGTAGCTTGGTGTTCAAAGTCATATGTAACACCTGCAATTTCATATGATCCACTCAACAGCCCAATGAAAGGTAGATGTCATTGCCCTTCTTTGAAACTGTGCTCCCCCAGAAGTAGACTCTGAGACAAAAATGCCAGTACAAGTAGGGGGTTGGGATGTGAACCAAGGAAGGGAAGCGAGCCAATAAATCTTGCGTTATGGAGAAGGTTACAGCTGTGGGCACCTGGGGCTCAAATCCCTGGAGGGCATGAGACATGGAGCAGAACACTGTTCCCAGTTAATCCCAGCAAGGGTAAAGGGCCTGCGGTATTTATCCACGAACTCCAGGCAGTCACAGAATGGCTGCTGTGGGGAAGGGATGATCAGGCCACCCTGAGCATGGGCCAGGTGGCTGTAGCAGAGGAAGACAGCTTCAGGCAGCAGAACAGGTAGGTACAAGAAGTTGGGAATCATTGGGCCAGCCGGCAAGCGTGAATCCAGAGGATATGTATGGGCCACCAACAGTGTTTGCCACACAGAGATTTGCCTTATGTGAAGTAGCTTCACCAACTCAATCCCAATAAAAAGACTAGAACTTAATTCCCTTTCCTTTTAGTCCTAAGAGATTTTTTCAATTAACTCCCAGTCAACCTAGTATATAAATATGACTTTACCTCAATATGCCATGTGGTTTTATCTAGCTGTGCAAAATAGCAATTTTTATAACAACTCTAAAGTAATAACTAACATTTACTGAGTACTTATAATATGCCTTCCACTGAGCTAAGTACTTCGCATTTAATCCTAACAGTGATATGAGACAGACGCTGGCATTACCCCTAAATAAGAGTTTAGAAAACCAAAGTTCAGAGAAGTTAGATCATGACAATATCTTGTGATCACCTCCACTAATAAAAATAGTTCTAAATTGCTACTATCTACCAAGCATCGCTCTGCACAGAGAACTATTTTCTAGCCACTTTCCTGTTTAATGCTCACAGGAAATACAAGATAAAATACTGTTTTCATACCCATTGAGCAGATGAGAAAACTGGGGTTCATAAAGATTAGGGAACCTGTTAGCTCAAGGCTACTGAGCTGGAAGTAGGTTGAGCCCAAATTAAAATCCAGATTTTTTTGTGTCGAAAGTTCCTTGCTCTAAACCACCTCGCTGAAACCTCAACAGTGCTACCTGGCTGCTCTATGACGTTTTAATCCAGGCGTGCTTTGTCTGTCTAACTGGCACAATCAGCAGAGACCCAGGCCTTCAAGTGCTTTGTTTGACTTTCCATTGGGATGCTGAGACCCTAATAGTTAGAAGGATAGCTTTTGTCAGAATAATTTGCCAGCTTGAACAAAATCAGACCCAGTTCACTGAAGAAGTTAGTTAGGTCATTAAGACTCCTAACGGTCCGGTTGAACTCAGCATGATTTCTTAACATGCTTGACTCAGAGCCTGAGGCTTCGCTGGGTTTGGACTCAGCTGAATGCTCTTCAAACCCTGTTGGCTGGCAGCTAGTAATCCCAGGCATGGCCCTGGCTCCTCCAGTCCCTCTGGACCTCGCCTCCATGAATCGTGTACACTGGACATAAAAAGCTAGGGTGCGAATACAAGGAGACTTCCTGGGAGTCCTGTGTTTCTGTGAAAAACAATTTAAGTCTAGCTGAGTATTTTCATTTAACAGGAAGGTCCCACTCTCTGTGCCTGGTTTATTGAACACGACACTTGAAGAAGGTCATAGCAAGTCTAGCA